CTTCATAGAAAGGAACAATAATTTATGGAGTGAAACGAATTAGAGATGAGTGGGATACTGAATAATCATGGCATAGAAGAATAAAAGAGGCCTAGTGTGGAGGACACAATCACTTCTCCCTGGAGAGCAAAAATAATTAATTGGAAGAGTAAAGTTTGGGAAATTTAGTCAAAGAAAGAAAAGCTTTATTAAATTCTAATGCAATCAATTAATTGAGAATATAGTACTAGACTTCATAATGTTTTACATGGCAAATTATTGCAAACTTTCCTTCTGTTGCCGGAAATTTCCCAACTCCCAACAGTATCCACACGCACATGCTCTTCTACAGTACATCTAAACAACGACAAAGACAATGACAAAAAAAAGAAAAAAAAAGAAAAAAAAAAGAAGAAAATAATATAAATCAAAAAAGCATTTTACAATATGACATAATTCAAACTATAAAATATTAATTATATGATAAAGTTAAACTCCTTATATTGAGAGCTTTTTTTCTTATTAGATGATTGTAGTTTTATAATTTGAATTAGTTTAAATTGTAAAACAAAATTTTTAAATATAAAAAAGATAGTAATTTAATCAATTAGATATTTTATAATTATTGATAGGAAAAATATTACTATAAAATTAACAATTTATTTATCTTTAATAATTATAAAATGTGTGATGAATGGTACTATCACTTTTTAAATATAAAAATAAAAAATATTAGAAATAAAAAAAAATGAATCTGTTTCTCTCACTTTTCTAATATAAAAATAAAAAATATTAGAAAAAAAAAATTCTAAATCTGTTTCGATAGCAAGCAACTTTGAAGAAAATCTGTCGTGTACATGTATAAAATGAAAGTTAAGGTTTCCCAAGAAAGTGACGGAGCCTTCACGGCACAATGTTTCAGGATACAAAAATGTGAGATGATTCCAAACCTCGTGCGGGGAACATTAATAAAATGGTTAATTAGGTACTAACCAAGGTGATGACATTAAATATAGTGATATGCCTGCTCGACTCAACGTGTTGGGGTTTATGTTTTTAGTTGTTGTCTGCTCTTTTTATTGTAATCCCACATAAAAGAAACACAAAGACATAAATTGGGTTTTGTTTTGTCAATTAAGAAATGGAGTGTACAGTGGGGAAAGTGCTTGTGATCTTCACCTCAACTAAAGAAACAAACATCAAAAGGAAGAGACTCGAAACAAAATTGCAGCTTGCAGCGCATTGATTAATATGTGTGGAGGATGTAGAAAGATTTTTACCTTACTATTTTAGGAGTGCATCTGAAGGAACAACTGAAGAAACAATTCATAACCCCTGTTTTCCATTGGACATGTGAGGCGCACTAAAGAAAATACAATTTTATTAGCTAATAAATAAATATAGTTTTTTTTTTTTTCCAGTTTGGTAGAGGGAAAAATCTCAATAGATACAAAATTTTTTGGTTTTGGGTTGCATAGGAAAAAAAAAAAAAGACGACTATCAATGAAATGAAGATAAGAAAATATGATGAGTTCAAGGTTATAATTCTAATAACATCATGATATCATATGAACAAATAAAGCAAGACCTAAACAGAGAAAGGCATTTGCTCTTTCACCTTTTGGTCGGTTTGTTCTTGCGTTGCGTCTTAGAAACTTAAAAATTCAAAATCTGTGCACAACCCATTGGTCAGTCATTATCAAGGAGCCCTAACATTTGATTTCCTTACCCAGTTGCCGTGGCATCGAGGGTGCTTAGTGGAGCGGAAAAAATAATTTGTTTAAAATGTAAATTTTTATTTACAAATTAAAAATTATTTTGTAAGGTAACTTTTAAGTATGAGAAAGCTATACATCTTAATTTGAAAAAAAAAAAAATTTTTAACTTATTTTTTAAATTTTTTTCCACCAATTTTTTTATTTTTTAAAAAAAAATTACTTTTTAAACTCTACTAAACACCTTCAGTAATTTTACAAGACACTCAAGCTTTTGTTTTTGTTACCATCATTCATAAGAGGTAAATACCTAACTCGAGAATGATGTAGGAAAGAAACCTAGCATGTACTTTAGAACTCAACACTGAAAGGCTAACAAGTCTGATTAAATTGTGGCATCCACTAGTTAGGTCCTGAGAACGACATGACATTTGAACATTGAACCTCAAATTTCTTACCTTTTTAGAGAAGTAAAAACTGGACTGATAAAAAACAAGGAAAGGGCTGTTCCTTTATCATGTATTTATAATTACAGGTTCAACCTACCAAAAGGGAATTGTTAGGTTCAATGCCTGATTAAGGGTTTTGTCCTAGGCTATATCTTCCAGAAACAATGAACCAAACCTATTACTGGTAGGATGGGAGGAAGCCGCTTTGTTAGACCAAAATCCAAAAGCAAAATCACAAAAAGCACCAAACATCTTTCGCATTATAATTTTATGCGAATCACTAATCAGCTTAAAGTGAAGGTGTTAAATATTCTTTTAAGAAACACATACTTATCCATCAAAGGCATTGATAAAAACTTAAAAGAGTCAAAAAGCGGAGGCGAAAGCGAAAGCGAAAGCATCACAATGATAACACTAATAGCATAAATGAAGCTAGTCCATGAAACAAAAATGAGAACCAAGCAGTTTCAGGAAGTCTAGCCATCTGTCACATAGAATGCAAATATGCAAAGCATTAAAGAAGCCACTCTCAACTGCTCACTACCAATAAAAAAAAAAAAAAAAAGGCATTTCATCCTCACTGTCGGTAACTTCAAATCAGCACAGGAACACGTAGACGGTTTAAATTAGAAATATTGGAACTGCCAAAAAGTTAATATTCTTATCAGTGATACCGAGCGTTTCAGTTTTTCAGCCAACCGAACTGTTCTTTTTTTTCACAGAGCATAAAATTGCTACAACAGCGCTGCTCCTGACAGTCTACAGGTCGATGGGCTATTACATCATTAAAGGAGGATGAATAGCAGTTAATGAATTAGCTTGAAAATATGATGTGATTACATTGAATTTGAGTAGATATACATGCAAGCTGCCTACAGACTATTGTCACAAGTCTTCCAAGGAAAAAAGATCTGTATAGTACAAACCTGAAACAGAACAGTTGATGGTGTATACACAGAAAAAGAACCATAGGATGGCAGACCTTCCGTAGAGTTCTTCTATTGATGAATCAGTGGGCTCCTTATTGAGGAGTCACAACTTTATGCAGAAACAAAAAATTAGCCTGCAATAAAATGGAAAGAATTGAAAAAATGCAGCATTTTTGTGATACGGGAAAGTAAATGGATAGGCCTTTTATCAGGTCACTTTTCCATGTGGACTGGCTTTCTTCTCTCATGCCAAGCCCCAATTTTGTTTCACATTTATAACTGAATTGGAAATTAACAAATGTTCAATCTGATAACTAACAATCTGAAAGGAATATATCTTGGTTTTATTTTACCATAAAAATATTTAAGAATATATGGCATCAAATCTTCTTTGCCCACTAAAATAAGTTTGCAGCGTTTTTCAGTACTAATTCACTGCTGAAACGACCTATCTAAGAGTCTTCAACAAGCTTATGTCTGGCAAATCATGCATACCTGCTTCAATTTTCTCTTTGATCAGTAGGCTTTCAACACCTCTTATCAATAGTTGCCTTTTTAGCAGAGAAAAATGAAGTACCATGCCCACATGGTAAGTTAGATTCTAGACATATACGCAGGTAATTTAATACACAAGCATACTGCACACTTTTCATTATTGAGCATGAAATTCAAAATATGTTTTTTCTTTAGTTTTTATCCCAGATGGAACCATCAAGGCTAACCAAATTTGAGGCAGGTTTAAATTTCAACACCACAAGAGATACTGACATTTTTTTAAACACTGAAATTAGATATATAGATTTATTTAAGCATAAATTCAGGAAATACCTACTATGGAAGTGAAAAAAGGTGCAAAAGGGACAGAAGGTGGACTAATTCCATGGTTGGGATAAAGAGACACTGGATGTTGATGCCCCTAGTCCCTTTTTCCCATGTATAGCAGATTTCAGCACGTTGTATTGCTCAATAACAGAATCATACAGCGCTAGACTGTATGCCTCCTTAGCCTGCCAAAAAGGAGAAGCCAAAATCAAAGTCCACAACACATACATACATACGCCACTTTGCTAGAGTTCAAAATTATCATCAAGACATGGCAATTGGTGGATGCTTCACAATTAGAAAGGGAACAAATTAAGGACTGCCAGAATTTCTCTAGTCAAATTGGATGATAAACTACTTGGAAAATGACCAAATTTGACTGCAGGGAAAAGTATGAAGAATTTTGATGAGATAGGTGTAGGAGGGCTAAGCCACAGGATAAATTTTGGGACCGGAAAACCTATCTTACAGGTTTGACCAATCAAGCTGAAACTCAAGTGCTAAGCTCAGAAAAGTTCCTTTTTTTTTTTTTCCCCCGATGCGGAAAATAAACAGAATAAGGAAGATTGTAACAGGACAAACAAGTATGTGACTCTTGTCTTCTGGAAATCCAATATACAGCAAACTCAATCTACTGATTCGATGTGACATGTCCAATAGCTTGCTATGTTCATCTGTATGTGAAAGCTCAAGTCTACATTTCAGTATCAGAAAGATGTGAAAATAACAGTGGTGTGAAAATAACAGTGGTGACAAACCTCTTCAGAATTTTTATAAGTAGCACCAACTTCACGAATGCTGATTTCTGGTGCTACCGACAATCCTGTTCCATGGAAGGAGACAACTCTTTTCTCTCCAATTTCTTTTTCCACCTGGATCAAATAAAAGCAATAGAATCAGAAGAGGAAAACTAACAATCACAGAAGAAAAGATCAGACAACAACATACCCGAGGTGGAGGGGGCATAATGTCATGGCATAATAAAGCCAAGGGGTAAACATGCACGGGCGGACCAGAATGCTCTGCAAGCCTCCTAATATTGTCCACTGCAGAAGAATCAAAGGGTGCCTGACCCCCTCATATCAGTACGAACAAATAGGAAGGCATTATAAAAATAAAGTTGACCAATAAATTATTAGTAATCAACAAGTTCAGGATTTTTTATATGATTAAGACACAACAAAAACAGACCAGGCAGTATAAATAGAATGACTAAAGGGGCAGAAAGCAATTACAACCACTGAAAAAGAAGTAACATGGTATGTGGAAGACTTCGATATTTATGTAACAGTAACACTCACAGACACACACTCATAATTTCATCCAAAATCTCCCTTCTCAATGCGGATTTGCCAATGGTTCCATTCAGAAACAATGCCGTGAATTCTTATGGGCAGTTCAACACTGCACTACCAAAATATAAAGTCTCTCCAGGTAGATCATGTGAACCAAGCGACCGATGTTTACCACCCACAACAACTAAGAAGTGGGAAATAAAAAGGAGCTAAAGATTTATAATTTTAGTTGTTCTCTTTCCAGGATTTCCCTCCCAGAAGAAGCTGAACCATGTCAAAACTAAAACAATCTGTCTCATTTTAAGCCAAAATATGTACTGTATAGAACATGAATATGATTTGAAAAGGAAACTTTCAACATTTCTAAGTTCTTCACTAAAAGTTAATAACTTGAGAAGACTGCATAAGTAGAAAGTAGAAACTTATAAGAATATGAACTCCTTAATGAAAATTGAAAACAAGAAAGATTGGAGAGAAAGTGGTCACAGAAACTTACTGGATTCCATTCTCCTGTATGAGTATCTGGCCGGTCCCTGCCACCACTTGGTGCAATCCATATCATCTGTGAACCACCCCTACAACCAAAGATAGTTAGTCATAAAAAACTAATGAATATTATCTTCATAAATGTTCTATACCCTAATTTTTGTATCAGACAAGTATAAAAGTGGCCAATAAGGTACCTTAAAAGCAAAGCCATCTCTTTCAAACTTCGTGTGTTTGCTTTTCTCTTCATCTCAGCAAGGTCAGGAACATCATCCATGTGTTTTTTCGAGTACACACAAATTAAATTCCTATAAAATGCAAAGTCGGAAATGGTAAAATATTTTTTCTTGGCTGCTCGTTTTAACAATCCATGGTCTAATCATTTCTTTAAATTTCATGAATACCTTCCCATGCTAAAGGGCTTGCAAAGAGGATCTGTTAGGACTCTATCCCCAGCTACATATGTCTGCAGTATACAATGCAAATTTGATTGCACAACAACTTCCATTATCAATTATGGCCACAATATTAGTCTCAGGAAAGGACAATTATTTGCAAATATCATGTACCATATTCTCTGCAATATGTGGATTTGTCCTTTCAAGCGACAAAGCAATAACAGCTGGGTCAGCTTCACTTTGATGGTTTGATATCAATACAACATTGTGACCCTGCAATCAAGATACAAAAAGTTGCCCCAAACTAAGCAAAAGGAGAGGTCATAACCACCAGACCAAGCCTGGGTAGGTACAAATAGTTTACATTGATTTATTGGTTTTTCCACTTATGGCATGGCTAGGTAAGGGCAAAAACAATTAGATAAAATCCATTGATTGTTGGTCTCTTGTTTCTGATTCTGTTCATTTCCAATTTTCAATTCAAAACTCTCGTACTTCCTAAATGATTACGATTTCATAAATTAATTTCGGAAATCTGAGGGTTTGCACATGCTTAGTACATAAAGAAAATAGTGATTTTCCTGCTTAGGTAATTCACTACTCTCAATTTTCTTTTTCTTTTTTTTTATCAGCTTCATTACTCTCAGTTGCACTTTAATACTAATTATACTCTCAATTAATTGGCTGTATACTTTTTCTTATTCAAGGAATATAATTGCAACTAAAATGCAGGAAAAAATTCTCATATATGATAACAGAGTAAAACTTTAGTTCATGCAGAGAATATAACTGTAAAAGATTCCACAAAATTCTATATGTAAATATATGACAGATTTGCTTTTTTAAAAATAAGGTATTATAAGGCAGACCTTAAAAAGAAAACTAATTTTGTGAAAATTTCACAAAAAAATGTATTCATATCTCAGTGCATCCTTCACATATATTAACACATCTATCACCCATGTTTCTTGATATGCTGTTGTTGCTTGCTATTGGACAATAGGAATGTAAATTGAAAAATGGTTAAAATAAACAAGTTTCTCGAACTCAACTCCTAATATCTATTTTCAAATAAATCATTTCAAAAGTGAAATATAAGAAATTCAGTCAGAAGTTTGCAGAAGAATACAAGAAAAGGAGAACAAATCTAAACATCAAGAAGAGGCACCTGCTTAAGCTTCTCTTCAATTTCATAGAATATAGGCACATTCCCTACATATGAATTTCTGCAATGAAAAAATATTGATTATGTAAGCCACAAGGAGAGAGAGCATCTTAGTGACTTGATTCAAAGACTCTCCACCCCCTTAAGCTTTCTGCAAACTAAAATCATGCAAGTAAATGAAACCAAATATAGAAGAAAAATGCTGAGGTTTTCAACTCACGTGAAATCAATCAAAGGACGGATGTAGTTTTGACCAAACATGTAGTAGTCAAATGGCTCTCGCAATGCTTTGTGATAGGGAGCAAAATCATAAGGAGCCTGGAAGTTTACTTTATTATTCATACAAAAAGTTCATACAAACATGTAACTGGATACAGCATCTGGAATTGGAAGTTTGTATAATAAAGATAATACTGAGATGGTATTGTATTTACAGTTACCTCCACATCCAAAAGTACACGGTCAAGTGCAACAGCCATATTTGACAACACAGTCTCATCTGCCCTAGGGTCTCCACTTTGGAAAACCTGAAAACATGGCAACATTCAAAATACAATACTGAATTATATCTTTGACATAAGGTATCTAAGCCATATGAGAAAAGACCCACTAAAGGACGAGCTTATTAAAGAAATAAAAAGACTCAGAGCATTTTATGGAGAATGATAGTTTGTTGATGCTAACACAGGAAGCAACAAGATATGTGCAAATAAGAACCAGGATGTCTAGAATAAGCAAGAATATGTAAAACACAATATGCATTTCAGTATATTAATATACCGCATTTCTATAATTCTGATATAATACTTCCATCCCTGCTGCAACATTTGGAGGTAACCTCCCTGCTTCTACTTCCTTCCTGATTCCATGTAGGAGTTCTGTAAAGAACCAAGAGATGTAAGCCGATTAATGTAGTTATTAACTTTCCACACCACAATAATTCATGCAAAACAGATACAAGAATTTGAAAAATTAGGCATCTAACAGCGGAAGAAGAGTAAATCATGAATCTAGCATTCAAAAACATCTTACTTAAAATGAAGCCGAATCGTGTTTTTAGTTTCTACCATATTCAATTCAACACAAATTCGAAAGTTAACACTGTTTTCCCAAATACACAATATATGCTGTATAAAAGAGTAAAAGGAGAATCCATACTTACAGAAAACAAACACAAAGATTTAGATCCAAATATTTAATTTCTCCAGTTTCTATTCCTTTATTTTAATCCAAATTCTGCAAATAGATAAGCCTGAGGTTTTTTTTTTGGTAAAAAAAAAAAAGTTGTAAAAAGTACAAAAAGAAAAGAAGAAACCAAATAACTACTGCATTAAAACAACGCCGACATTGCATTTTGTTTTTTTTGGAACTGTTTTTTTGCAGAATCTCTAGTGCAAGGAAGCTATCATACTTCAGCAACAGAACAAAAAGCGATGCATATCAAATTCAAGATATCAACAACTTTCCAGTTTTTAACATTTTCTCATCAATGAAGCAAAATAATCACAAAGAAAGCGGACCTTGTTCAGTTCGAGCGTCAACGAAGGTGCGCGAGTGTTCAACCTCACCCTCACTGTTGGACGCGGCTATCGATTCCTTGTCCTTAACCAGCTCCGCCATTGTCTTAGCCTTCACTGGAGAAAACACGCACTTAAAACTCCCGGCCGCTCTCTGTTTG